TATTTTCTTGACTTACAGCTTAATCCTAGTCACTTTTGTTTTTCTAACTTACGATTCAATCCTAATCGTTAATTTTTTACTTAAAAGTTTAATCTCGATCATTTTAATTTTTTTGACTCGCGATTTAATCTCAATCACTTTTGTTTTTTGACTTACAGTTCGATCTTAGTCGTCATTAATCTCTGACTCGCGATTTAATCTCAATCATTTTTATTTTTTTGACTTGTGCTTTAATTCCAATCGCTTTTATTTTTCTAACATGCAATTCAATCTTAATTGTCGTTAATCTCTAACTTACGATTTAATCCCAATCATCGTTAATTTTTCACTCGCAATTTAATCTCGATCATTTCTATTTTCTTAACTCACAATTTAGCTCTGATCATTTCTATTTTCTTGACTCGCGGTTTAATCCCAAATGTCATTAATCTTTGACTCATTATTTAATCCTGATCATTTCTATTTTCTTGATTCGCAATTTAATCTCGATCACTCTTTATTTTTTTGACTTACGAGTCAATCCCGAAAGTCGTTAATCTTACTCATGATTTAATCTTGATCTTTTTATTTTTCGACTCATGGCCCAATACCGATCTCGTTATCCACCGACTCACTATTTAATCTCGATTGTATTTATTTTCTTATTCCTAGTAACAAACAAAATAAAACAATTTTTGTTTTAAAAATCCTCGAGTAAGCTTCGAACAAAATTGACGTCTTTATCTATGCCCATTCCTGATTCTTAGAAATGTGCAAAGAAGAACAATTGTAGACACCAAATTTGTTCAAAATTTAATTGAGTATCGATTTGAAATTCATCGGGTGTATCTGATTTTCGGACCCAAGCCTGATTTCGATTCAACTGAGCTCCAGACCCAATTTTGATTCAACTAAGCTTCAAGCCCAATTCAATTCAATCAGGCCCAAAACCCCATTTCCTTCTTTAAGCCCAAGGCCTGATTATCTTTTATTTATTTTTTATACTATTAAAAAATAAAAAAAAACAAAAAAAAAATTTTTAAAAAGAGACAAATAGAAAAATCCAAACAAAAGAAAAAATAATGAGGCAGAGGCTAGTGCCAATGAGTGTTGTGCATGGCACCACTACCACCCACTCCCTCATGCCCTAGCTATCATGCCCCAATACTACCACCCCTGTCCAATCCCTTCACTAGAGCACTGTAACCCCATCAGCACTCCTTATTTCTCAAACACCTAACCCTTTTAAACACTAAGCTCAAACACACCGAAAAAGGCTCTCCGACAGACAAAAACACCAACTCAAACACCAAGAAAACCCAAGCTCTTCCACACCATTATAAGACTTTTCACCCATCAAAAAATCGAAAAACACACTAAAAAAATTTTGGATACAAATAACGAAAAAAAAAAAAAACCACAAAACAATAACACTCTTTCCTGTCGGAAGGAACCAACGCCAAATAGCTACCTAAAAAAAAAAAATCATCAATTTTGGTTTTACAAAAACAAAAAAGATCGAAAGCCTCAAAGCCTGATTCACTCTCCCCGAAGCTGTTTTTGACAAAAAAAAAAGTTAGATTTGGAAAGAGAACGTCGAGGGAAAATTTTAAAAATTTTTTGACAACTTTTCGATTACCGATGATGATGGCCAGCAACCATTGACCACCAAGAACGATCACCTACGATAACGTTAGGCGATAGCCGATGAGTTAGCACCACATTGAATTTTGGAAGACCAAAGACTTTTTTTAGCTCTAAAATTTTTTTTGGTAAAAAGGATAAAATGAGCTAAAAAAATTTTAATTTATATAAAAGACCAAAGTCCAAAACGACGCCATTTTAGGTCGACAAAGATCCGCGCGTTGACTGAACCCGACCCGAGATCCACAAGACCCGACCCAACGACCCATCCTTCAACCAACCCTGAACCAATTCAACTGAACCGTTCATCAAACCGCTCATCAACCGATTTAATCGAACCACTCGCCAAACCGATCCTTTTTTCTGTTCAGATGAATCGACGTTAACTGGACCATTAATCAATCTGATTTAGGTAAAATTTTTGTTAATATTTTTTATATATTATTTATATCATTTTTAACTTTAGTATTATTTATATCTATGCATGTTTTAATACTTTTAGAGCTTATTAGAATAAATACTTGTTGTGTTATGATAATAATTAATAATAATAACAATATTAATGATAATAATAAAAATGATTTCAAAACTTGTAATTCCTTTTGATTTTTTTTATAACCCAAGTGTTAAATAATAAATAATAAGTAATAAATAATAATATAAAATATAAAATTATTATAAAATTAACTAATAATAAAAAAAATTTTCATACCTAGATGTTGAAAAAATACAATCGTACTTTAAATAATAATAATTCTGCTTAGATATTACGAAATTATTGTTATAAAAAAAACACTAAAAAAATTAGTAATATTATTAATAACAAATTTTCATAAAAAAATTATAAATATTTTTTTTCAAAAATCATAAAAATTGAATTTGCTCCAAAAATTTGCCTAAATATTAAAAATTTTTAAAGATGTTCACGTTTTTTAAAAAATAATAATAATAATAATAAAATAAATCACAAACCCTCAAAACCCTAAACACTAAACTCTAAATCCTGAAAACTCTAAAAATAAACCCTAAACCCTCCAAACCCTAAACACTGAACTTTAAACCCTCGAAACTCTAAAACTAAACCCTAAACCCTCCAAACCCTAAAACAAAACCTTAAACCCTCAAATCTCTAAAACTAAATCTTAAACCCTCCAAACCCTAAAATTAAACCATAAACCCTCTAAACCCTAAAACCAAACATCAAATCCTCCAAACCCTAAAATCGAAATCCCAAAAACTAAACATTAAAATCAAAACCCTAAAACATCCAAACCCTAAAATCAAAATCTCAAACCTCAAACCCTAAAATCGAAATCTTAAACCATTTGAAACTCGAAATATTAACCTTAAAATCCAAAATCCTAAGCCCTAAAATTTAAAGCCTTAAAATCCAAAACTCTAAAAAACCCCCAAATTTGGTACACACTCTCGAATCATTACCCGAAACTCATCAAACCTTAAAACTTCAACCTAAACTTATACTTAAAACTATTTTGAAACTTTAAGGATACATATGAAAATCTTGAGTGGAGTAACTTGTTTCCGAATACCGCCTAGATGATGGGATGTTTATAAAATTTTATTCCATCAAGTTTTTCATGCGAGTTCTTAATTCATTTCAACAATAGGGTTAATAACTAATTAGTCATAAAAGTATAATAATAAAATAAAATCTTAAATATAAATATACTTAAACTTTACCTAGATGTTAGAGAATCAAAATGATCTCATTATATTTAAGAATCTATTTTTTTAATTATGTTTCATCATCTTACATAATATCCATCGACATATATATGCGTCATTATATTATTGTTGACATTCACTTCGCATCTCTCACTCTTTGATCTTTATTTGTTACCTAATAATACCATTATTTACTTTCTTATATAAAATGTTTTACAAAAAAAATATATATATTTTTAATATAAAACAAAAATAACATTTCGAATGAAATAATTCTCGATACTCTGCCTAAATGTTAAAGTCACCAACAATTATCTTCTACAAAAAATATTATTTTTATTTTAAGAAATATTATGTTAATCTTGAGTGAAAAAAATTATTTTAAATCCTACCTAGATATTGAAAAATTTTAAGATAATTCTTTAACTCAAAGATTTCTTCAATATTTTTAAATAAAAAATTTTAACAAAATTTTACTGTTTAAAATGAAATGGATTATTATTAAATTTTAAATTAAAACTATTTCATCCAACACTGAAAATAACGCATAATTAATTGATACCAATTTATTGGTGTTGTGAGAGTGCTAATATTTTCCCGCACGTCACCGACTCCTTGACCTAACCTAATTTTCGTAAACTAAAATTTATCTTTTTGATAAACTTTAAACCCACCTTTATAGTTTTATTAAAAAGATAAACTTTTGAGTGACCAATCACAATCTAAAAAAGATTAATTCCATTTTTCTCGATTTTAAAACTCTTTTAGTCGAGCGACCCCAAAACCGTTACAACACCTAGATAAAAAAACAAAAAAAAGTCCATTGATCAAGCTAATCCAATCTGTCTATTGAGAGAATGTCCACATACAACTTCACATGCTAGGCCCTTATCAAGATTTGGTTCATTAAGTAGTAGCTTTGTCCAATGATGGTTGTCATGATCCTTCCATGGATGAAATTCAAACTCATCTTGTCATGTCATATATAAGATGCATTAATAAAATAGAAGTCACATTTTGACAAATGATAAAAAATAAAAAATAAAAAAAGAATCAATGAGGTAAATATGGTTTTTTAACATTTTTTAGTGACTAAAAAGACATAAAAAGCTCATAGTATTCATGTTTAATGCATGTTTAATGCATCTTTCATCCATTTTTGCAACAAACGTTTATCTGGTAACTAAACAATACAATAACATATAGATAAAAATGGAAGGCCAAGCAACATTATCAAGGGTTCATAAAAAATTTGATTTTTAACTTCAAATTTAACAATCAACATGCAAGCTTCAAAGAAATATAATAAACAAAATATAAGAGTTTGAAAGGAGGAAAACATACTACAAGCAAAATATTCAGCAAGTGAATGAGCTCCAAACTAAAATTCAAGCAAAATTGAATAAATCAATATTTTAATTAAGAAATACATTTCATTGGATGTTACTTATTGTCTAACTTTGCCAACACTTTTATTTTGGTTGGAACCATGGAATAAACAAAAAAAAATTAGAAAATTAAAACTTGAAAAGTTTACTCCCAAATAGTAATCCATTTATAAATAAAGTCATACTTTATTTCATTGGCCAAAAATTTATAATTGATATATCTATAAATTCATTTTTTTTTATCAAAAAGAAGACAACATCAAAACAAAATAAGCTAATTTTAGGCATAAGATTTAAGCTTACCATATAAGGAAGATGATCCAAATGATGTGGTGCTACATCATAATCTTCAGCACGTGTAGTAGGATTATTCTTTGTCAAACCATTTAAAAACACCATAAATGATGGAAATTCTCCTTGCATGGAATCTATATCATTTTGTAGCTTCACCTTTTGCTTAGATGTCATTGCTTCCCACCGTGTCTTTTCCAAGGCAGCCTGCTTGTCTACAAGCTTAATATAAGGAAAGGCATATTTATCAATAATGATAAGGGAATAAGCAGTTTTGCAATGAATACATCTAATATACACATCTCTGTTCAGCAGTCAAATGACTTAGGTACACAGAAATCACAAAATGGAAAATGAGAACCAGATATCCTGCAACCTCATATAATAGATTATACCCATATTTTTACATCAGACTAAACATTTTTAATGATATATTTTAACAACCAATTAAACAGACAATAACTACAAAATCATTCAAAATCTTCTAGCAATACAGTTAATTCCTGTAGTTGTAACTGCTTTTGATATGTCAATTATGGAATAATTTCTCATTCAAACATTATCTAACAAAAACATAAATCTTACACAAATAAAATCAACCCACATAAGTTCCAAGTTTATTCATCTACAAACGTTGCTGCCCCCGTCAAAGTTTCAAAGATAAATATTGAGAAGGTAAGTATGATACACTAAAATATTATATGAAATGATTTTTTTTAAAAAAAAAAAGAACATCTCTAGCAGAAAGACATAAAAGACATATACCTTGGCATCAGAGAGTTGCTTGTGAATAGACTTAAGAGTCCTTTTCTGCTGCATATGTCCTTTCAATTTATCAAGTTCTGCATGAAGATCATTAATCACGTTCTTCGAAATCTCTGCTGATTTGAGAAGCTCATTTTTCTCCAGTAACTTTCTTTGTAGATCCTCCAGTTGTTCCCTCAATTGAATTAACTCCTCATTTTCTTTTTCCACTGACAAAGCCCTTGAGGAAAAGATTGAGTAGTTGTCACCATTTTAGTTATTACTATCATTTTGGTCTACTTGGTCCTTTTTCTTTCTCACAGGAATGGATTGAGCTGCATTCCTCCTTTTTACGTCAGTAGCCTTCATGAATGGAAAGAATAGAATTATAGCCCATTCATGTAAAGAAAATAAAAGAAAAAAAAATCACCTCACAGAAGAAAAGCTATTAATTTAAAATCTAGGAATATAAGCTAAAATTGATAGTAAAAATAATTTCATATTACAAATCATGAAACATTGTAATTAGATATCTGGAGTATATAATGGAGTATACATACATACACTCCATCTGGTTCATATAATTTCAATACTATCAAACATTGTAATTGAAAATTATACACATAATTTGATACTCTATCCGAAAATTTCATGATTTTCAATTACAATGTTTCATGGAACATCAATGGAGTATCAAATTATACATACAATTTTGAAATTTTCATAAAAACATGAAAACTTTCACAAAAAACACATGCAATTACCTCTTGACTTCATCAGAGAACATCTCTCCTTACAACTTCTTCTTTCCTCTAATAAAACGCAACTTCTGTAAAAAAATATCAACAATTTTCAAAAAATAAATAAATCAACAATACTAAAAAAAAAAAAACAAAATTTAACCTGTAAAACCCTAAAACAAAAAATAAAAAAAAAAAAACAAAAATCTTCGATCGAGCAAATCAAAGAATGGGCAAAAAGACCATACCAGAAAAATGCCCATCTTCTGTCTGCACTTTTATGTCCTCTTTGTTGTATCCTATTATTTATATGCAATTGTATATTCCAACAATAAAAAAAAGAAAAAAAAAAACCATGAAATTAAAGAGATGAGAGGAATTAAGAAATTACCAGGGACGTTGATCTTGAAGATGTGGGCAGTTGGGGATTCGAGCCAATCCATGAGAGCTATTAATCTAGACCATTCATGAAAGATGGGAGGGCTCCATAAAAGGTGCCTCAAAGGGTAACCGAATATACCATTAGCCATGCCTTGTCTGTCTCAATTCTCAAATTTTATTGAATAGATGGGAAGAAAGAAGCGTTAAGTTGTTAAATACAAGGGCACAAAATCACAAGAAAAGAAACCAGCCAGATAGAAAGACAAAATCGAAAAACAGGAAAATAAAAAACAAAAAAAAAAATTAAGGAAGGAGGAGGGGTAAGAAGAGATTGAGATTTTAGAAAAGATCTATAGGCAGTAGCGGTCGAAGGGTTGGTCCATCGACAGCCCTTTTCCCTTCTCCCCTTCCTTTTCTCGATTGCTCTCTTCTCCTTCCCCTTCCTCTTTGTTTTCTTTTCTTCTCCATGTCTGTGTCTGAAAAATCTAGAACCTTCAACTTTTACCCATCAATCCAAAACCTTAAAGTATTTTAAAGACATTACTGATGTGAATAGTGAATCAGAAAACAAAGAGGCTGGGGGATAGCTTTAATGTTGAGTTATAGATGCGTAAGATTAAGCTAGTAGGAGTTGGTAGTAACCAAAGCAAATTTCAAATGAGCAGTAGTGGCCTAAGGGCTGATTTATAAATTGCTGTCTGTCAATTATCCCTACATTTTGCTAATGCCACGTGGGAGGAGTTAAATGATACTGGCGGATGTTCTAATTTCTTTCTATGTACGGAGGCCCATTGGCCTCAACCCATTTTTTCTGAGTTTCTGACCAGGATCAGGTATCCTGATGAAGAACACAGCGCACTAACTTACTAGTCTTTTTCTTTTTCCTTTATTTTAGCAAAACATACCGTGATCCTTAAAATAAAATAATCAATGGCTTCGATTGCATTTATAAAGATTCATTATTTCACTTATTAATTTAAGTTTAAATCATAATGTCAATAATCTCTTTTGGTGATTAGATTTATAAATTTAATGTAAAATTTCTTTAAAACTTGTGATTTGTTTTAATTTTAGAATGAGAAGTCTTTTCTTATCTTAAAATTTTTTTTTAAATTATTAAAAAATTATAAATACTTTTTTTTTTTTTTATAAAAACGTAAACTATTAAAAGTTAAAACATACGATCATATAAAACATGTATTCATGGATGACAATACTTAACAATAATAGTCTCATACATATTATATACGAGTTCAAGCAAATACAGGGTGGAATCAAATTTTATTTTCTTAAAAAGCGTTCCACACATGCATGAGATCGTTGCAACTAAATATATTAAAAATGAAAACCAAATTTATCCAAACTAAAGCACTTTCATAAGTAATAATTATCATGGATTCCTAATCAGCTGATTAATTGAAAAGGAACTTGACCGATAACAATGCTTAATTTGTCATCAACAATTTCAGAGTTTTGCATCTGTGCATTGCCATATCATTTGTAATGCCCTCCTGTCCAAATATTTGCTAATTGTAGATACAATTATATAAATAAAATAATATTTAGATTTATATTTATGAAATATTTTTTATAAAATAAAATTATAAAATTTTTGAGTTAAAATAAATAATAACTTGTTGAAGGCGAGTCTACGTCTTTAATTAAAAACACACACACAGAATCCATTAGTTATTTTCTAGAGTGGGGCCTGCTCTGCTTGTTTGCTAGAAAATTCTATATAAAAGTAATAGACAGCTGTTTTTGTTTCTTTACTAATTGCTTTGAAAGTTAAAAGGTTCGAGGAAGTCTATCATGCATTTTTTTTCTCCTTCCCCACTTGCTTTGTATATAATTTCAAAGTCATTTTGCTTTTAGGACCAGTTGATGCTGTTAAAAATGTTAAAAGACAGCTGTATATATCTGTATTTAAGCCAAAGTCAGCATGCAATGTAGACATCTTTGCTTTACTCTTGTTTTAGCAAATAATCTTACTGTGCTTTTAGCAGATGTTAAACCTCTAATGTGACAGTCCCATGCACAAACTTATTACTGTTTTTTGCATCAAATTATTGACATGCTTTTTTATGCTGATGTTAACTTAATTTCTTTTTTAAAAATAAGACAATGTTTAACGGCAGTCCAAAGTCATCATGAGTTTGAACCTCCATTGTCTTCTTTTTTAACTCAGTTCAGTGTCTTTTTCCTTTTCTTTTTTTTTTTTTGAGAAATAAGAATGTTCATTCATTACTCAAATACTGAATACAATCATCATGTAAAGTCTCAGCTATAACAGCAAGGAACTCTTCTACCCAAAACTCATCATTTTCTAGTAGTATACTATGGCGGGCAAGTTTATGAGCTACCCTATTCCCTGAGCGTAAAACATGCGGAACATTACAAGAGTGGAACATTCTTTTTCTGGCTTCCTCAATAATCACTCCTATGGGTGAAAGATCCATTGTTGTCATCTTCAGACTCCTTACAACTGTAAGACAGTCACCTTCAAGATCAATGTTTGTAAAGCCCATTTCATGTGCAAATTGCAATGATAGGACAACTGCTCTAGATTCAACTTGGAACGGATCATTGACAGCATGAATTTGGATTGCTGCAGCACCTAGAACGTGTCCGTTATGGTCCCTGATAACTACCCCAGCTCCACCCTTCCTGTCTTGTTTGGCAAATGCACCATCAAAGTTCACCTTCACTCTCCCTTCAGTTGGCCTTAACCAGTGTCTGGACGACGTAGATTGGCTGACGCGTGGGACTTGTGCGTTGTTGAACTCAGCATTGTACTGTTTAATAAAAGCAGCGGTAGCCTGGGTGGTCTTTGTTTGTTCACCATATAGCTCATTGTTCCGTTCCCTCCATATGCCCCAAGTGGCTGTCATAAACAACCCCACTTATTCTTCATTCAATTGTTCACTTACATGCTGAAACCATGTCCCTCTGTTGTTGAAGTTCCTCCAAGATTCTTGGAACAAATTTAAGTGCCGCCACGCACTCTCAGCATGTACCACAGTCTCGTCCATTTCCCCACATTTTGGACATGTGGTGTTGACTTCAACCTTCCTTCTATTTAAGTTGACATTAGTTGGTAGTATCTCTTTGCATGCACGCTGCACAAGCATTTTAACTTTCAGTTGGACTGTAGCTCCCCAAAGTTTCTTCTACATTTTCCATCGCCCCTGGTCATTCCTAGGTCCCTCGTCCTGTTCTGCCTGCATCAACATTTTGTACCCACTTTTAACAGAATAGGTGCCCTTATTGTCGTAGTGCCATACTAAAACATCCGGCCTTCCAATGGAGCTGATGGGTATTGCACATATGACTATCGTTTTTGTGTCCTGTGAACAAATGACTAATTAGCTATCGGTTCCAGCGTGCTTCTTGTTGGTCCAACAAATCAGCCACTAGTTACAATTCGCTTAAATACTCCCGTTAAGATTGGACTTTAAACGGCCAAGTTGTAGGTATCCAAATGTCCTCTCAAATTCAAATGTTGAGTCCATTACCGACCCTCCACCTTAACCCCTTCTCCAACACGCTCTTCACCCCCCATATACTCCTCCATGTTAGTGATGGATTTGTCCCCAAATTTGCCTCCATGAAAGATGTTGTGGGAAAGTACCGTGCTTTCAAAATTTGTTTCACCAAAGTAATGTTCATTGAAATGATTCGCCAACATTGCTTGGCTATCATTGTTTTGTTGAAGGCCTCCATATCTCTAAATCCAAGTCCTCCCCTATATATATATATATTTTTTGGAAGACAAAGCTCCCTCCATTTCAGCCAATGTATTCCATAATGCTTGTTCGTTTTCTTCCACCAATACCTGCCAATGATGCTATTTGTTTCCATACATAGACTCTTTGGCAAAATGAAGCAGTTCATAGCAAAGGATGGCATGGACTGTATTATCGCCTCAATGAAGATCTCCTTGCCCCCTTGTGATAGGCACCTGTTACTCCACCCTTTCATCTTTGCCTTGATTCTTTCTTTTATATCTTGGAATGCTTTTGATTTGTTCGTCTCCATGATTGAGGGCAAGCCAAGATACTTCTCTGGGTTTACAGTCTCTTATACACAAAACGTTTCTTTTAGCTCTTCTCTATGTTGTTCTCTTGGTACTTTTGCTAAAATATAGTGCTGACTTGTCAAAGTTTATTAGTTGTCCAGAGCCTCCTTGATATTTCTGTAACATGCTCTTCACCCTCTCGCCTTCGTTTGATGTCCTTGGCGAACAATAAGCTATGGTTTGAAAAGAAAAGGAGAATGACCCTGGGGCCATTTCGGCTTGCTTGGACTCCTTTCACCGAGCCTTTTCTCTGAGCTTGAGCTAATATCGATGACAGGCCTTCACTGCATAATAAGAATAAGTACGGAGATAATGGATCACCTCGTCTGAGATCCTTTCTTGGCCAGAACTTGTCAATGGTACATCCATTGACAATAAGAGAAAAGGAGACAGTTGTTACACAATTCATTATAAGATCAACCCATATCTTTGCCTAAAACCCAATCTCTCCATCATCTCCTTTAAGAAAAACCATTCTACCCTATCGTATATACTTTACTGATATAATTTTATAGCAAAGTAATCGATTTTTCCATTTCTCCTTTTTTCAAAGAATGGAGGAGCTCATAAGCTACTAGCATATTATCAATTATAAGGCGACCCGGGACAAACGCACTATGGTTTTCGCTGATGCAATGTGGTAAAACAGTCTTAAGCTTATTAGCATACACCTTTGCAATAATTTTACACACTACATTACAAAGGCTAATGGGTCTAAATTGAGTGATCTTACGAGGGTCTTTTAGCTTGGGTATTAATACGATATTGGTGTGACTAACACCCATATATTCCATCCCCGTTAAGCATAGAAAGATAAAACTGAATTACATCACTACCAATAACATGCCAATATTTTTGAAAAAAATAATGCCGACGTACCATTTGGTCCAAGAGCTTTTAGAGGGCGCATGTGTTTAATTGCTGTTTGAACCTCCTCAGCTGTGAACTCCACAACTAGAAGATCGTTCATATCATTAGCCACTTGGTTTTCCACTGCTTGTATAATATCTTCCATGTTACCGTGTTCTAAAGATTGAAATAGTTAGTGACAATCTCTAAAATCCCACCCTCTTCTTCGCACCAGTCCCCTCTTTAATCCTCAAACCCCCTTATGGTGCTACATCTTCTGCACTAACTCATTTTTGCATGAAAGAAGGCTGTGTTCCGGTCCTTTTCTCATGGCCAATCAAGACGTAAACGTTAAGCCCAAAACGCGTCTTCCATTTCAATTGCTTTGTTCAATTCGTTTCTTAAGGTGCCTAGTCTTTCATGATTGGACTGGGCCAGCGTGGTGTTGCTTAATACCTGAAGCTCCTTGGTAAGTGCGCTGATTTTCTCATGCATGCCCATAAAGAAATCTTTATGCCACTTTGCAAGTTGCAATCCTGTGAAGCCCAATTTGTTTGTCAAAGATCCTTCCATGCAATCCTCCTAATTGCCTCTTACTATTTCTTCACACTCATGTTCTTTAACCCAAAAACTTAAAAACAGAAATCTTTTTTTCTTCTTTGGCCATCTGTGGCGTCTCCCTGTGGTTTCGGTAATGACTGAAATAGGATTGTGGTCCGAGACAGCCACTACTAGCTGGTTCACTACATGTGCTGGAAATCTTTCCTCTCAAGCTTGGGTAGCAACACATTTATCAAGTCTCTCCCGTACGTTGTTTGTGGGGCTATTCCTTTGCTTCCACGTGAACCACTATCCCTGGAACCCCAAATCCTCTAGCCCGGCTGGCCTCTTGTAGAGCTGAACAAAAGTCCTCCATTCGTCTTTCTCTTCTTTGTCATCGACCTGTCGTCTCATGTGACCACATAATCTCATTGAAATCCCCCATACACATCTATGGTTTAGTATTTTGTGTTGTCAAATTCCTTAAAATATTTCATGTTTGCCCCTTTCATCTAGTTTCGGGTTCTCCACAAAAGCTCATCAGCTTCCATTCTTGTGCATCGCCATCTTCCCTAACGTCCATGTCAATATGGTTTTTCAAAAAACTCAATAGTTGTACTTGTATCGCATCTTTCCAAAGCATCGTTACGCCCCCTTTAGTTCCCTCTGCATCAACACTAAAACATGATTTCATCACACATTTTCTTTTGATTTATTCCATCCTCCACGCATGTACTTTTATTTCCATAAAAAAAACCACATGAGGATTTTCCGTCTTCAGCAAAATGTCGAAGTGTTTGAACTACCCGTGGGTTCCCAAGCCCACGGCAGTTCCAGGACAAGCATTTCATGGCTCTCAATGGGGTTAGCACCCAGCCTCCATCCTTTGTATTGGTAGTCCCTCTTGAGAATGCTCTTCTATCCTTGACTTTTTGACCTAGTTGTCATCCGCCTCTGGTTCACTAGCCAAGTCCATAGCCATATCAATCGTTCTTCTTGTTGCGCCTGAAGCAATAATCACAACAATACAGAAGCAATAGACAACAATCAATAATCAAATGCGCAGGAAAAATAAAGCACACCAAGATTTACGTGGAAAACCCTCCAGTGTAGAGGGAAAAACCACGGGCCACCAAAAAAATCTTCACTATCAAATAATAGTTATACAAAGTTCTTCTCTAGCTAAAACTAGAGCTAATCAACAACTAGAGAAACAATTGGAGAAATCTCACCAAATAAGTGACTCAATAAATACACCCTGGATTTGTTCCTAGAGAGCTTCAAACCCGATCTTCACCGTTCAGAATGTATAACTCTGAATCATAAACCTCCTGACAAGGTTCCAACTCAATCGGACCACAGATCGACTTCCGTTTAACCAACTCTCCCTTCTCCTTTTTCTCTCTCTACTTTTCCTGGCTTTTCTTCTTTCTCTGCTTGGTTGTCGACTCACACCTTAAACAACCCCACCTCTTTTTTATTAAGTAGCTAGGGCTCTGTGTAAAATAAAAGATCAAGGCCCATGGCCTTTACTTGGTCCAAAACCACTTACATGGGACTGGACCCCATTTTCCTAACAATCTCCCCCTCCAGTCCCATTAGAAGGAGATTCATCACCATAGCAATTTCATTTGGAACTTACCTTGGCCAGGGAACTCATTCCGGCCAAGTTACTGCAAAGCTCAAGATTTTCCCTGGGAAGTATCTTAGTCAACATATCTGTCACATTTTTATCAGTATGGACTTTCTTCAATAGCATCTGCTGTTCTTCAATCACTGAACGTAACCAATGATATCTAACATCAATGTGCTTTGTTCTAGCATGGTACATGGTATTCTTACTCAAATCTAAAGCACTCTGGCTATCACAAAATACCACATACTCTTTCTGATTCAACCCCAATTCAAAAAGAAAACGTTTCATCCAAAGCATTTCTTTACATGCTTCAGTTGCTGTAATATACTCAGCTTCTGTAGTTGACAAAGCAACACACTTCTGCAACTTAGACTATCAAGATACAGCTCCTCCTGCAAAAGTGAACAAATACCCTGAAGTAGATTTCCTACCATCAAGATCGTCTGCCATGTCAGCGTCAGTAAACCCTTCTAGAATTGGTTGTGAAACTCCATAAGTCAAACACATTTTTGAGGCACCCCTCAAATATCTAAAAATCCATTTTACTGCTTCCCAGTGAACCTTCTCTGGATTAGAAAGAAATCTGCTCACTACACCAACTGCATGAGCAATGTCAGGCCTTGTACAAACCATAAGATACATTAAAGAACCGACTGCAGAAGAATAAGGAATACTAGACATAGCTAGTTGCTCTTCCTTAGACACTGGACAAGATTTCTTACTTAGATGAAAATGGTTGGCAAGTGAACTGCTAACTGATTTAGCATGTTGCATGTTGAATCTACCAAGCACTCGTTCAACATACTTTTCCTGTGACAACCAACTTTCCAGCTCTCCTATCTCGGATAATGTCCATACCAAGAATCTGCTTTGCTGGACCTAAATCCTTCATATCAAAGGACTTAGACAATTGTTCTTTCAACCTGCAAACCATACTAGCATCTTGTCCTACAATCAACATATCATCAACATATAATAATAGGATAATGAAGTTACCATTAGGGAATTGTTTAATATACACACAAGAA